ATGCACCTCTAGAAGTATATACGCTGAGATGTATGCACATCTAGGAGTATATAAACTGAGATGTATGCACCTCTAGGAGTATATACACTGAGATGTATGCACCTCTATGAGAATATACACTGAGATGTATGCACATCTAGGAGTATATACACTGAGATGTATGCACCTCTAGGAGCATATACACTGAGATGTATGCACCTCTAGGAGCATATGCACTGAGATGTATGCACCTCTAGGAGCATGTACACTGAGATGTATGCACCTCTAGCAGTATTTACACTGAGATGTATGCACCTCTAGGATTATATACACTGAGATGTATGCACCTCTAGGAGTATATACACTGAGATGTATGCACCTCTAGGAGTATATACACTGAGATGTATGCACCTCTTGGAGTATATACACTGAGATGTATGCACCTCTAGGAGTATATGCACTGAGATGTATGCACATCTAGGAGCATATACACTGAGATGTATGCACCTCTAGCAGTATTTACACTGCGATGTATGCACCTCTAGGAGTATATACACTGAGATGTATGCACCTCTAGGAGTATATACACTGAGATGTATGCACCTCTAGGAGCATATGCACTGAGATGTATGCACCTCTAGGAGCTATGCACTGAAATGTATGCACCTCTAGGAGCATATGCACTGAGATGTATGCACCTCTAGCAGTATATACACTGAGATATATGCACCTCTAGGAGTATACACACTGAGATGTATGCACCTCTAGGAGCATATCAGCTGAGATGTATGCACCTCTAGGAGCATATGCACTGAGATGTATGCACCTCTCGGAGCATATGCACTGAGATGTATGCACCACTAGGAGCATATGCACTGAGATGTATACATCTCTAGCAGCATATATACTGAGATGTATGCACCTCTAGCAGTATATACACTGAGATATATGCACCTCTAGCATTATATACACTGAGATGTATGCACCTCCAGGAGCATATCAGCTGAGATGTATGCACCTCTAGGAGCATATGCACTGAGATGTATGCACCTCTCGGAGCATATGCACTGAGATGTATGCACCTCTAGGAGCATATGCACTGAGATGTATGCACCTCTAGGAGTATATACACTGAGATGTATGCACCTCTATGAGAATATACACTGAGATGTATGCACATCTAGGAGTATATACACTGAGATGTATGCACCTCTAGAAGTATATACACTGAGATGTATGCACCTCTAGGAGTATATACACTGAGATGTATGCACCTCTATGAGAATATACACTGAGATGTATGCACATCTAGGAGTATATACACTGAGATGTATGCACCTCTAGGAGCATATGCACTGAGATGTATGCACCTCTAGGAGCATGTACACTGAGATGTATGCACCTCTAGCAGTATATACACTGAGATGTATGCACCTCTAGGATTATATACACTGAGATGTATGCACCTCTAGGAGTATATACACTGAGATGTATGCACCTCTAGGAGTATATACACTGAGATGTATGCACCTCTTGGAGTATATACACTGAGATGTATGCACCTCTAGGAGTATATGCACTGAGATGTATGCACATCTAGGAGCATATACACTGAGATGTATGCACCTCTAGCAGTATTTACACTGCGATGTATGCACCTCTAGGAGTATATACACTGAGATGTATGCACCTCTCGGAGCATATGCACTGAGATGTATGCACCTCTCGGAGCATATGCACTGAGATGTATGCACCTCTAGCAGTATATACACTGAGATGTATGCACCTCTAGCATTATATACACTGAGATGTATGCACCTCTAGGAGCATATCAGCTGAGATGTATGCACCTCTAGGAGCATATGCACTGAGATGTATGCACCTCTCGGAGCATATGCACTGAGATGTATGCACCACTAGGAGCATACGCACTGAGATGTATACATCTCTAGCAGCATATATACTGAGATGTATGCACCTCTAGCAGTATATACACTGAGATATATGCACCTCTAGCATTATATACACTGAGATGCATGCACCTCCAGGAGCATATGCACTGAGATGTATGCACCTCTAGTAGGATATGCACTGAGATGTATGCACTTCTAGGAGCATATGCACTGAGATGCATGCACCACTAGCAGTATATACACGGAGATGTATGCTCCTCTAGGAGTATATACACTGAGATGCATGCACCTCTAGGAGTATATACACTGAGATGTATGCACCACTAGCAGTATATACACGGAGATGTATGCTCCTCTAGGAGTATATACACTGTGATATATGCACCTCTAGGAGTATATACACTGAGATGTATGCACCTCTAGGAGTATATACACTGATATGTATGCACCTATAGGAGCATATGCACTGACATGTATGTACCTCTAGGAGTATATACACTGTGATATATGCACCTCTAGGAGTATATACACTGAGATGTATGCACCTCTAGGAGTATATACACTGATATGTATGCACCTATAGGAGCATATACACTGAGATGTATGCACCTCTAGGAGTATATATACTGAGATATATGCAGCTCTAGGAGTATATACACTGAAATGTATGCACCTCTAGGAGTATATATATCGAGACGTATGTACCTGTAGGAGTATACATTCTGAGATGTATGTACCTCTAGGAGAATATACACTGAGATGTATGCATCTCTAGGAGTATATATACTGAGATGTATGCAGCTGTAGGAGTATATACACTGAAATGTATGCACCTCTAGGAGTATATATGCTGAGATGAATGCATTTCAAGGGGTATATACACTGACATGTGTGCATCTCTTGGAGTATATACACTGAGATGTTTGCACCTCTAGGAGTATTTACACTGAGATATATGCACCTCTAAGAGTATATACACTGAGATGTATGCACCTCTAAGAGTATATACACTCAGATGTATGCTCCTCTAAGAGTATATACACTGAGATGAATGCACCTCTAAGAGTATATACACTCAGATGTATGCACCCCTAGGAGTATATATACTGAGATGTATGCACCTATAGGGGTATATATACTGAGATGTGTGCACCTCTGGGAGCATATATACTGAGATGTGTGCACCTCTAGGAGTATATACACTGAGATGTATGCACCTGTAGGAGTATGTACACTGAGATGTGTGCACCTCAAGGAGCATATACACTGACATATGTGCATCTCTTGGAGTATATACACTGAGTTGTATGCAACTCTAGGAGTATATACACTGAGATGTATGCACCTCTAAGAATATATACGCCGAGATATATGCACGTCTAGGAGTATATACACTGAGATGTATGCTATCCAGTAGCGACCACTGAAGAGGGGCCGAGAATCACCTGCAACGTAACTAGGGATACAACTACGTGAGTACCTCATAGGAATAAGAGTCGGGTGCGCAGGATGTATGAAACCCAACGCGTATATACAACTGAGTGATACATCTCTAAGAGATATACCTTAGAATTATGCACCTTGAGTATACTACTAAGATGATGCATCTCAACGGTATATATACTGAGAGTGTAATGCACTCAAGGTGTTATAACTGAAATGTATGCACCTCTGGAGTATACATACTTAGATACATGCAGCTCAAGGAGTATATATACTGAGATGTAGTGCACCTCATTGTGATATATACTGAGATGTTGTGCACCTCTGGAGTATATATACTGAGATGTGTGCACTCTAGGAGTATATAATACTGAGTGTGTGCGCACCTCCAGAGTATATATCACGTGAGATGTATGAACCTCTAGGTGTATATATACTGATATGTGTGCACCTCTATGAGTATATATACTGAGATGTGCACCTCTAGGTAATCAAAACAACACTCTGAAAGATAGAGAAATTCCAAGGCTTTCGTGATACTCACATTACAGAACTATGTTCCTTGATATGTGAGTAGTCAGAAAGCGCTTGGAATTTGCCTCTATTTTCAGAGGGTTTTTTGCATAATACTGAAATTCACCTGTTTACTGTGATCTTATTGCTCTCTAGTTATACAATATGAATAGTGTGCACCTTAAGGAGTATGATACTGAGATGTGCTGGCACTCTAGGAGTTGTATACTGAGAGTGGCACCTCTGGAGTATTTATATCTGAATGTGTGCACCTGGAATTTAATACTGAGATGTATGCACTTTAGGTATCATATACTGAGATGTGTGCACCTCTAGGAGTATATATACTGAGATGTGTGCACCTCTAGGAGTATATATACTGTAATGTGTGCACCTCTAGGAGTATATATACTGAGATGTGTGCACCTCTAGGAGTATACACACTTAGATTTACAGCTTATTTAGTATGTATATATTTTGACATAAACCAATATGTGGACATGCAATAAAAGATGTATGACCCTCAATGTAGTATTCAACTTAATTTAAGCAATTTTTTTAGTATATATTGAAGAATCAAATAGTGCATGATATATAAATATATACCCTCATGTATATAAAATAATATAATATAATATTATATAGTATATACGATAATACATATTTATATAATATTATATATAATATATATATATATATATATATAATAAATATATATATATATTAATATATATATAATATATATATATATATATATATTATATATATATATATATATATTTTATATATAAATCTGACACTGTGCTCTTGGGAGATTCTGAGAGAAGTTGCAGAGATTGGTGGATGAATTTGGTAGGGTGTGCAAAAGAAGAAAATTAAAAGTGAATACAGGAAAGAGTAAGGTAATGAGGATAACAAAAAGATTAGGTGATGAAAGATTGGATATCAGATTGGAGGGAGAGAGTATGGAGGAGGTGAATGTATTCAGATATTTGGGAGTGGACGTGTCAGCGGATGGGTCTATGAAAGATGAGGTGAATCATAGAATTGATGAGGGGAAAAGGGTGAGTGGTGCACTTAGGAGTCTTTGGAGACAAAGAACTTTGTCCTTGGAGGCAAAGAGGGGAATGTATGAGAGTATAGTTTTACCAACGTTCTTATATGGGTGTGAAGCATGGGTGATGAATGTTGCAGCGAGGAGAAGGCTGGAGGCAGTGGAGATGTCATGTCTGAGGGCAATGTGTGGTGTGAATATAATGCAGAGAATTCGTAGTTTGGAAGTTAGGAGGAGGTGTGGGATTACCAAAACTGTTGTCCAGAGGGCTGAGGAAGGGTTGTTGAGGTGGTTCGGACACGTAGAGAGAATGGAGCGAAATAGAGTGACTTCAAGAGTGTATCAGTCTTTAGTGGAAGGAAGGCGGGGTAGGGGTCGGCCTAGGAAAGGTTGGAGGGAGGGGGTAAAGGAGGTTTTGTGTGCGAGGGGCTTGGACTTCCAGCAGGCATGCGTGAGCGTGTTTGATAGGAGTGAATGGAGACAAATGGTTTTTAATACTTGACGTGCTGTTGGAGTGTGAGCAAAGTAACATTTATGAAGGGGTTCAGGGCAACCGGTAGGCCGGACTTGAGTCCTGGAGATGGGAAGTACAGTGCCTGCACTCTG